TAGAGGGTAGAAACAAAGAATGGACCCTATTGTACAACCTCCACAAAGGCAGTCATTCAAGGTAATAAAACCCAAATTTAAGCGTCCATCACCTTGAGGTGATCTCAGAATTCAGGGCCTTTAATAATGAGGCAGAATTATAGGATTTTAGTCCTTTAAAGCCTGAACTATGAAACAGTTGCCAGACAATTCACATTTATTTTCCAGTTTATTGAGTATAATGTATTGTGCACTTTGAGGAGGGGGAAATTACACTGATGATGTAGAAGTTTAAAAAACTGATGTATGACATATCACAAACTTGGTGTCCCCGTGCTTGGGGTCCAAGAATCAAACTTGAGCCTTGCTTGGTCTGGTTTAAAGGTAGCTGAGTCACGTGTTCGCTTTTAGTGTGTTTTTGTGTAAGTCGGGGTCTCTGTGTCGTCGAGGTCCCCCTGCTCTCGCTTGGTGTGCTCACAGCTTCGTCGCCCACAGCAGAGCTGTTACCTGCACTGAGGAAGGAGGGGTCATGCGCGCACCTGCGCTCGCCCTCATGCGTCTTGCCTTGGGAACGCGGGTCCAAAGGACAGCGTAAGCGCGCGCTGGCCCTCGCGGGTCTCGTGGCTCTGTGTTTGTTTGTCCTCGGCTCAGGCCCGAGCCGACAATAAACAGATGAAGGCGGCCGCGATGGGAGGAGAGGACAGAGTAGAGGGCAGGTCCAGCAGGGCGCGGTCTCCTTCTCCTCCTTCCGCGGCACCTCGTGTGCACTGTAGCAGGCTTGCTTCCTGACAGCATTTCTGCCAGCCGCCCCGCGCCACAGCGACGCATTGAGAGGAAAACCGAGAGACAGAAACCGCTGCGGGGACACCCCGTGACCGCCGTGTCCAACAGCCTACGCGCCGCGCGCCTCCGCGTCTGTCTCCGAGCCCGTTTCTCACAGCTTCAACGCAGAGGCACAGCTTTGAACCTGCCTGCCAAGATAAACTCACCTCTCCTATTTATGCCCCTGCACTCCGCGTGCACTCGGAACACGCAGTGCGTGAGCAGCGGCGCAGAGGACAGGTTCACTTCTCTCTAGCTGGGCTCCAGCGGCGCACTGGCCACTTTTACGCGCCGGGAATGGCGACTTCTGGGGACTCTGGGATGAGTCCTGCTCTGTTGTCTCCGCTCTAAGATTACAAAGGGGATCCCACGCGTGGAAGGAGGGGACACTCCAACAGAAATACAGCGGAGACATATTGGCCTCCCGCAGTAGGTGGGAGGGGGTGACACGCCGGCCGCCAGGCGGAATGCTGCTCTCGACGCTGGTGACGTGCCTCGCCGGGTGCGCGTTCCTCCTGTCACCGGTCAGCGAGGGGTGCGGACCGGGCAGAGGCAATGGCAAGAGGCGGCCGCCGCGGAAGCTGGTCCCTCTCGCCTACAAGCAGTTCACCCCCAACGTGGGTGAGAAGACGCTGGGAGCCAGCGGGAGATACGAAGGGAAAATTACCCGGAACTCCGAGCGCTTCAAGGAGCTCACCCCCAACTACAACCCCGACATCATCTTCAAGGATGAGGAGAACACAGGTGCAGACCGCCTGATGACGCAGGTAACCCTCCCGGCTGCTTTAGTGCCTTTAAGCCCGACTACAGTCCGGCTCAGAGAGAAGCAGGCATTTGTGCGCAGGAGCTCTGTGCACTTTGCCCCGTCTTTAAACGCGTGGACGCTGTTATCTTGTTGACTCAAAGCTCTTCGCCGCAGGAAGAAAAACGGTATTTGCCAACAAAATAATTTTATCACATTCATCCCTTAATGATTTTAAATGAAAAAGATGCGCTTTAAAACAGATTTTCTCCAACTTGGCACTGATTTAAATCACAGCAGCAGCTCTATTAAACTTTATCGTCCCTTTTTAAAAATAAATAAAACTACAAGTTTAACTCAGACATTTCTTGGGAGGCTAAGCACGGATTAGCTGAATATAGTCTAAAAGCCCTGCGAAGGCTGAACAGTAGAGGTTGGAATCAGAGGTTCACTGTGGGCAGCTCATGCGTAAAGAAGTGGGCAACCCCTTCTAAAAATGTACGGCGAGCGGTCGCTCTTAATTAAAACACTATGTCCTCTGTTTCTACATCATGTTTTTTTTGGTGGAGAAACAGCCAAAAGTCGTATTTGGTTAGA